GTGGGAGGGGCTGGTCGTGAAGCTTCCTGAGCTAACCTGCGCTTTTCATAATGCTCGTAGATCAGCGGTGCGGATGCTTTCAAATCTGCGCCTGAAATCCACCGAGTGTTGTCGCGATCGCATGCTTTGAATGTGACTTTATACTGCCGCGGCTTGCTGCCGTACTTGCGATCGGAGATGACGCGGTCAACTTCCTGATGGCCATCCATAGGAGGGTCCTGCGATCGTCGGTTCAGAAAGTCATCGCTCTTGGTTGGCGTGTATGTTGCCAGCTTCGAGGCGTGGAAGACCGGATGGACCGTCAGATGCTTTGGAATGTTGATCACAAATGAAGGGCCATCGGGCTCATCGCCCGCGGCTGCTGTCACAGACCAAGGTCCAAACCACTTGGGAAGCAGTTTGCGTGAAACATCTTGTTCCAGTGCAAACTCTTCCGCGGAGACCCAAACCAGATCACCGGCGTGGATGGGACATGGTACGCGACGCCTGTTGGCTTGTTGCTGCATGCAGACTTGAGCCTTTTGCATATTTGCGCGGGCTTGAGTTAACAATTCCTTGTACTTCCCGACGGAAGTGGGAGAGCAGGCAGCGTCGATGTCGGCTGGTCGAGGGAGGAGAAGGTCTGCGAATATCCGGCCTTTCCGTCCACCGTGGTGCAACTCTAATGGAGTCACGCCGATCGCCGGATACACTGAAGTGTTGGAGGCGAACTCGATGTCGGGGAGGCGGTCAACCCAATCTTTCTGGTCTGGACGGATGAGCGTACGAAGCATCATTTGAGCGGTTTGATGTGCCCGCTCCGTCTGCCCGTCTGTCTGAGGATGTCGAGCCGAACTTGGTTTCATTATTGTGTTGGACTCCTGCATGAGAGCAGTCCAAAACGCCGACATGAAACGAGTGTCGCGGTCGCTGACAATGTCTTCTTGTACACCGTGGCCACAAATCCAACCAGTGTGCAGGAGGCGTGCCAGCGCGGGAGCCGTGGAGTAGTACTTGCAAGGGAGAAAACGCGCGTACTTACTCAATCGGTCCACAACCGTGAGGATGCCGTCGTGCCCGAGCCGGTCGCGAGGAAATGGACCGGTGACGTCCATGGCAATGGAGAGACCGGGTTCCCGTGGAATAGGCATCGGGTGTAACTCGCCGTAGGGATTGYGGTTGCGGGGCTTGCTGCGTCGGCAAACTTCGCAAGAGTCGCAATACCGAGTGACATCGGTAATGAGCTCGGGCCATCGGAATCGCTGTCGAAGCCGTGCAATAGTGCGGGTGACTCCGAAATGGCCCGCGAGTCGTGAATCATGATACTCGCCGAGGAGGCGAGGCCGAAGACGATGGTCGCGTGGGACGCATAGTAAGTCCTTGCCTCTCGAGTGGAGGAGCAAGTACCCGTCGGCAATGCGGTAATGGCTCGTCGGCGGGTGATCCGAAGATAGCTGTGCATAGAGCGTGCCGAAGTCCGGATCAGACTGATATGCCCGGATGAAGTGTCGTTGAAGCTCCTCGTCGAATGCGAAGGCATGATGTGTCATATCGCAAAGATCTGGTCTTCGCGATCTGCTGCGCGATTTGAGAGGCCGGGTAGATGTTTCGGTGTGAAGTTAAACTGGTCCATGAAGTACATCCATCGTCCGATCGTGTTGCTCACCGTATCCTGCGTCTTGTAGTAGGTCAATGGATTGTTGTCCGTAACCCATGTGAACCTACGACGCCCAAGGAGGAAGTGCCGCCATCGCTTGAGAGCCATGACGRACGCGAGTAGCTCCTTCTTCCTTGCATCATCAAGCGAGTTGATGGGAGGCACTTTGTGGCTGAAATACTCCACAGGGTGCCAGTCGTCGCCGTCGTGCTGTTCCAAGACTGCCCCAATGCCATAGCCGGAAGTTCCGTAGTCACTCTCGTCGGCAAGGTGGGGTCATAGATGTTGAGGACGGGTGCCATGAGCATGGCCGTCTTAAGTGCTTGGAATGATCGGCGTGCGTCGTCATCGAAGACGAATGGCACCTTTGGTGACTGTAACCTCGTTATAGGTGCAACAATCCTGGAGTATCTGGTGATGAATCGCTGATAGTAGCCAGCCAATCCCATGAATGAACGAACGTCCGTGGTGTTGGTGGGCTCGGGCCATACTCGTAGGGCCTCGATCTTGTCCGCGAGCGGACGGATGCCTTGCGGCGTCACATAATGGCCTAAGTTTTCCAGCTCCTGCCGGGCGAATTCACACTTGTCGCGGTTGGCTTTGTACTTGGCCTGTCGTAGCCGCTCCAAAACGGTGCGCAGGTGTTCCACATGCTCCTCCAAACTCCGGCTGTACACCAGGATGTCGTCAAGATAGATAAGTACGTATCGATCCAACATGTGTCGGAACTCCGTTGTCATACCCGCTTGGAAAGTGGCCGGGGCATTCGTAAGGCCAAATGGCATAACCTGCCATTCGAAATGCCCATACCGTGTCTTGAATGCGGTCTTGTAACAGTCCTCCTTGCGAATCTCGAGTTGGTGGTACCCTGACTTGAGATCCAGCTTTGAGAAAAACTGGGCGCCGCCCAATCGCTCGAGAAGATCATCGATGCGTGGGAGAGGGCCGACGTTCCTGATCGTCTACGCGTTGAGCTTGCGATAATCGATGCACAACCGCAGGTCCTTGTTCTTCTTCAGGACGAAGAGAACAGGAGCACCGTATGGCGATGAGCTAGGCCGAATCCAACCTTTCTCCAGAAGGTCGTCGAGTTGTGCCCGAAGCACACTTAACTCTTCCTCGCTCATTCGGTAGATGCAACCGGGCGGAGGTACGGCCCCGTCCTCGAGGATGATCTCGTGGCGGATGGGTCGATCCGGTACTACTCCGTGCGGGCCTTCGAACACGTCGCTGTAGGCGTCGAGAAGTTCGGTGATGCGTGGATCCGAAGGTGAGTCCGTCGATGAAGCGTCATGTGACGGGAGGGCGTGGAGAAAACACACCCCCATCTCCTCGATGTCGTCTCTGATGATGGAAGCTCGCATGCTTGCGGCGGATACCACGTGGCAGCTGATTGAAGGATGAGGAAGAGGCACCGTGCATGGAACTAATACTCCGTTCCGATCACGAACGTGAACGGTGCGGTTGAAGAAGTTCACCGGGTGATCCTCGCTTCGCAGCCATGACATGCCCAAGATCATGTCAAATTTGGTGTCCAGAATGTCAAAGGACACCGCCTCACTTGCGTGAGGGGCAAAGTACACTGGGACGGCGTCAATGCACCAGTCGATGGACTTGTGCGTACGACCGTCTGCCAGAGTGACTTGCGTAGGCTGGGACTTCCTCCGGACACGTGGGCCAAGATCGGCGCGTACCATGAAGTCCTGGCTGATGTAGTTGCGAGATGCTCCGCAATCGATCAAGGCACTGCAGGTCGCCTCTCCGATCTGAATGCGTACGTATAGCAACGGTGCGTCGATGTTGTCGTACCGTTGCGTCTTGAACTCGCGGTCGATCTTCACGATGTAAACGTGAAGGTCGACAATCTCTACTCCGACGTTCATCAATGGAGCTGGTACTGCAGTGTGCAAGTAGTCCCGCAATTGTGCCATAAGCACATTGCAATGCGGTTTCGACAATCATTCGGTCGAGGGAACGGGCATCCACTGGAAGTCCGTGAACGTCAACGGGTCGAGCTCATCAAGTCTTGACCATGGCGTCGAATCCCCGACGATAGATTGCGGCGAAGCTGCCGAATCGGTTGCCGATGGTGATGAAACYGTGCATGCGGTGGACTGTTGCACGTGGAGCGGTTGGTCCAGCGGTGGAACCAAGTGGACAGCATAATCCGCGTAAGTATACCGAGGACTTGCGACATTCGCATCCTCCCCAGATGTGCAGGAGGCCGCTAGCAAGGCGGCCGAATCTGGGAGTGGAAGGTGGAGTCACCTCACCTTCCGCGAAGCTCAGTTTCCCGAGCTGAGGCGGGGTTGCACATCCTTCTTGCCCTGATCCTGGCACAGGGAGGTCTTGTGCTTGGTGCTGTTGCACCAATAGCAGCTGCCGTAGCGGCCGCGGACGTTGTACTCCGCCTCGGTCAAGCCAAACTTGACCCATGGAAACTGTCCTGGCTGTCCATTTCCGGCCTGCGATGCGGATTTCGCCTTCCCATTGTTGCGGGACTTGTTGGTGCTTCGTGGCTGGACAGCAGCCACCTGATCTCCGTCACTTGATGCTGGAGTGGCTGCTGGGTTATCCCCACTGTCCTGCTGGACTGCAGCGAAGTGCTGCTGTCGCTGACCAGTTCGTACCTTCTCCACATAGGTCGGCTGCCATGATGTTGATTTCTCGTGTGCAGCTGACCTGTTGGTCTTGATGATCTCTCGCGCGTTGTCGATAATCTCGGCGAAGGTGGCGTACTGCTGGCGATCACCAAGAGCCTGGCTCAATGCAGCACAGGACCTGTTGTAGAACTCACGCCTGAGATGAGTGAAAGGCAGGTCCAAATTGGGCACTGCCGCAATCTTCTGCCACTCTGTGAGCCAATCCCGTGTTGCAGTGTTGCCCTGTGACATGGTGAACAAACGGTTGATGGCGAGTGCCGGCGCGTCGTTAGCCAATCCCGTGTTGCAGTGTTGCCCTGTGACATGGTGAACAAACGGTTGATGGCGAGTGCCGGCGCGTCGTTGACGATGAACCGCTTCTTCCACAACCGTGTCAGTTCTTCCCATGTGATCTTGTCCTTGAGGTCCGGTATGTCGACGCCGTGGGAGGTTGCCAGGTTGGTCAACCAGGTCTAGCATCCGCCCTTTGAGTTCAGGAACAGGGCGCCGATGTCCTTGTGCTTAGCGACAGGCAGAATCCTGAGTTGCGTCGTGAATGCCTCCCACCAGAGGGTCGGATCCTGCTGCGTGTAGTCGTCGAACTTTTCCAGTTGGAAAGTTGGCATCTTCTGATTGCCATCTGCGTTCGTTGACTGCAGCTGTTGGACCTCGGTCTTCAAGGTATGTAGCTGAGTGCTGATGGTGGACGGCGCAGCGAAGGTGTTAATGTCGCCGAGCATTGCCAGGATGTGGTCAACGCGTTACTCCAGTTGGCGGCTAGAGGGTTCACTGCTGGAAGCCCCAGCAGTTGGTCCTGGTACAGCCTGTTCCAGGTCCAGCAATCGGGCATTGAGTGCCCGAGTTGCATCCTCGTGGCTCTGCACTGTGCGGCGGAGCGTCGCCAACTCCTGATGCTGTTGCGTCAGGTCCTGGTACTGTCTCTCCAACTCTGACCGTTGGTAGTTGCAAGCACACAGCAACCGTGTCACGAGTTTGGAGAGGAACTCCTTATGCTGCTCTTCCGGTGTTGCGTCGTCGCCGTTCGGTTCAAAATGCCAGATCTTGAGTTTGTCGATGCTTGTGGCTTCATGCCGTTGTAGATCCTGGGCTTCCTTGCGGCGAGCCTGGGAATCTGCGTCTGCATCGGCCTGTAGCCGCAGCTTCTCTGCTGCTGCTGCCTCTTCAGCCTGTACGCGGGCAGCCTCGACTGCCAGCAGGCGTTGTTCCTCAGCCTCTATCTGAGCCAGGCAATGCTGCTTGTAGGCGGCAATGGTCTCATTGGCCAGTTGGCCTGGCAGGCCCGTCATGTTGCTGATGTGGCACTGCTGATTACGTGGCACTGCTGATGTGGCACTGCTGA